ATATATTAAATGCTTTCTTCTAACATATGTTTGTTGTTGCGTTGTGCAAAATATGAAATATAAAAATTATACACCAAAAATTAATTAATTTAAATGAAAGAAAACGAAACGAATATTAAAGGGCAATAGTTAATATTTTTATCTTATATATTTAAATTAATTTATTTATTTATGTATTTGAATTTATTAGTTAATGAAATATTCATATGATTTTAATGATAACTGGCATTTTGCAACATATTTCCAGTAAACATTTACAATAGACTGATTTTTGATTTTGGCTACACTAAAAATTAAGATATAAAATTTTTGCCAGTAAAACCTAACTCTGAAGATTTTAAGAGCATTAGGCCTTTTCTTTTGTAAGCATATCGCAAAAGAACAAATAAAATAAACACTACTTTCGATGGCAACTCTGTACAAAACGGAAATTTTGTTAGGCTTACATATGCAAAACACGTAATAAAATCTAGAAATGAATAGTAATTCTGTGCAATTATTGGCAAGAACATTTTTATTGTTAATGTATTTGTTACGAACAATGATAACACGAAGTTCGAAGAATTAACGAAATCATGCGTTGACAGTGAACTGAAAATTTCATATGTACTCCCAAAAATCGTTCACAATAAACAAGTTTTTAGTCTTGGCAACCATGCGATTTGAGCTGCTTATTAGTTAAGCGGTTTCAAAAAGGTTGGACTTAATAAGCGATCAGTGTTGTTGTTTCATATGTTATTTTTAAAATAAGCGATTGTTCTTTTGTGATTTGTTTCACAAAGAAAAAATTATGGCTATTATTTATTGTTTGGTTATTAATATATTTGTATTAGTCCAAGATTATTAATATTTTAAATCTTTTTAATAACATATTTTGGTAATTGAGAAATTTTACCTAGATAGACAATACAATGACTATAAATCATGCGAGTTATATATGCACTTTGCCTCTTTATACTTATGTTAATAGCTTTAGGTAAGAGAAACGATTACAGCTTTTACACTTTTAACGCTTTAGTCATAACTCTTGTCATAGGTTAACCTATAGTTTATAATAACATTAAAAGTTAGTCTTAAGATTCAACTCAACTTTCTGAGATTTCTTCAACAATCGGTTAAGTAACTGTTTCATGTTGCTCTTTCTTTATATCTATATCAACAGAAAGATTTATTTTAAACATCGGTTTCGGTATTTATGAAGCGATTCTCGAAAAATATCACATCTCCTGCTATGAACACAGATCTTAATGTATTGTTGAGCAGCTTATAATTTTTTCCATCTGAATAGCAGACATTTATTGGTTTTTTACCTTTCTATTTAAACTTTAAATATCCACAACCCGTGTTTAATGTCACAACATAATGCTGTACCCATGGCTTTAGAAACCACGATTACGTATATATGTTGCTATACTAACAGCTTGCGACCACAATGATTGTGTTGCTTTAGATTCGGTTATCGCACACTTCCACATTTCATGAAGAGTTCTATTAGCTCTCTCAGTTGTTCCGTTTTGTTGTGGTTGAGAATCTAGAGGAAATTCTCAAAATCTTTATTTATGAACTCCCAACCACTACCGAGGGGTTATAAATTAATTTCTTTCCGATTTGATTTTCCTTAATAGCTATAATCTTCTAAAATTTAAATACCGCAACTGATGTTTTGGGGTAAAATATATGTTGTGGTGTACCAAGAAAATTCATTGATTCATACAATACAGTATTTGAAGGTACCGATTGAGACTGTCTTCATTGGTTTGCTAAAAAATTTACAGATTTGAAGATCAAAGGTTTTTCATTTTAAACACGAAAATGTATGAGTTCTTTAAATACTTAGATTTTTTGGCTAGATAGGTATTTTTGGAATTCCAAATGTGACGCAGTTCAGATGGGTTCATACACAACTTCATGGACGTCACTGTCTTTTTATCCGTTACCTTTCATTCCTATTTATTTTTTAGAAAGTCTGTGAGTTTGAATGTCTTCTATCACAGCCATTAGCTTCAATGCTATCAGTAGTCTATGTTGAGTTTTTCAATTGATGACGAAAATGCATGTTATGCAGAGTATCACAGAAATTGTAATAACTCACAGTATTAGATTAGTATTAGTACTAGTATTAGTATTAGTATTAGTATTAGTATTAGTATTAGTATTAGTATTAGTATTAGTAT